ACGCAGATGGATTTGCCGAGCGTGCATTCAGAAAAACAAGCCGCATCCACGCCATTTCGAGGCTGATGGCATTCACAACGCGTACAATCATCTGTTCAACGACCACGGGATTCGCGCTCCGGCTGGAATGACGCAAGGATCTGCCGAAAAGAAGGCGAATGGCAGGGGCAAACGGCCGACGGGACAGCGGACCCTCGCTGAATCTATGAAGCTCGATCTACACGATCCGCGCGAACAGGCAATTGCGAATGACTTTATCAGACGGTTCGACAAGGAACACTTCCGGAGGCTTCTGATTGACTGGATCGTGGCCAGGAATCACTCCTTTTCCATTGCCGAAGAGGCAGAGCTACAAGCCATCTTCGACTACTTGAACCCGTCCGTGTCGGCACGAAAAGCCAATGTGACCCACACAACGGTTCGAGACAAAATTGTCGCCGCGTTCGAACAACACAAGCAACAGGTGATGGAAGTCTTGCGCAAGGCGCCTGGACTTATCCATATGTCCTTCGACGGCTGGCGGTCTGGAAATCGACACGCCTTATACGGCATCTGCTGCTTCTTTAGGGACGAATGTAACAAGCCCTGTAAGATTACGCTGGGGCTTCCTGAAGTTAGCGCGAGGCACACCGGGCCCAATATCGCCGCCGAGATTCTCGACGTGATTGAATCGTATCAGATACAGGACAAAATTGGCTACTTCACGCTCGATAATGCGAAAAACAATGACACCGCCATGGAGATTATTGGCGGAGAGCTCGGATTCGTAGGGTCGCGCAGGCGAGGACGCTGCTTTGGGCATATCTTGAACCTCTCCGCCAAGGCGATCCTATTTGGCCATGACGCTGATGCTTTCGAGCGGCACTTATCTGGGGCAGAACCCCTCACGGAAGCAGAGCACTTGATTTGGCGCAAGAAGGGGCCAGCGGGCAAATTGCACAATCTCGTGGTGGCCATCCACAGATCAGACTTGTTGACGAACATGCTTCGTGGCATTCAACGAGAGGCTTCGGTTAAGTTATCTGACCCCAAACCGAATGGCAGAAAGCCACTGGACGTCATTTTGGACAACGATACCAGATGGCTCTCACAGTTATATATGATACGACGAGCTCTATTGCTTCGCGACTACATCGAGCGGCTCATTGCCCATCACCGGATAGAGTTTGAGCAACAAAACAAGAGCAAAAGGGGCGGCTGTAGGAAATCACTCACGTTGCCCTTTATATGTCAGCCAGAGAACCAGCTATCCGACAAGGACTGGGAGGTCATCGAATTGTTCGCAGAGATCCTCGGCTACTACGAGGCCACGATCAAAATGCTCGAAGGAGACGGCCAAATCCGCAAGCGGAAGCGTGGGTGGACTGGGTCATATGGTAACATATGGGACGTTGTTCAAGGCTTCGAATTCCTTCTCGAGCAGCTCGAACGATTTAAGGAGATCGCTAAAGAATTCCCTGACCCCGAACACTTCAGGATCAACATAAATTTGGGCTGGCAGAAGTTGAATGAGTTTTACGAGACATTGAGCGACACGCCCATCTACTACACGGGCCTTGCACTCCATCCAGCGTACCGGTGGAAATGGTTTGAGCGCAACTGGGCGGACCGCCCTGAGTGGGTTGACGAGGCGAAAAAGATCGTTCACGACGTTTGGCGATTTGAGTATCGGGGGGATACTTTACCTGGAGAGGAGTCAGAAGAGCCATCAGCAGCCGAGCCGGCTTTCAAGCACCGCAAGTCTTCCGATAATCCGTTCCAAGATTACCTTAGACGCAACCGCTACACAGCGCCGGACACAGGTCGCGATGGCCTCACGCCAGGCGAGGATGAATACCTCCATTGGATAACGCACTGTGAAACTGGCGACAGTTCCGTGGATGACCCTCTTACCTACTGGCACGACAGGCGATTCAAGTATCCAAACCTGTCGCGAATGGCGCTTGATTTTCTCACGATACAGCCCATGTCGGCCGAATGTGAGCGCCTTTTCTCTGCAGCGGGTCGGATGGTGAGCCCTCTGCGCCACCAACTTGAAGCCCAGATCGTCGGAATGTGCCAGGTATTACGATCATGGCTGCGGGCGGGTATTATTCATGATTTAGATCCCTTGTTCATCTCGGTAATCGAGGAAAGGACCGATGTCGAACTGGCTCAGATGTCGGATCAGCAGCTTGAGGGGTGGGCAACAAAGTGGCTCACTCCTGTGGCGAACGTTTATGAAGAGTTGGAAGCCAACGGGAAATATTAGGTCTCTCTTGGATGTTGGAACATGACGTTGTGCAAGGGAATCCCCTCACCGTTCCGAATAGGGGCATTTGCTAATCCACCCAATCTACGTTAATCCACTATAATCCACGACGGCCCCCAGTGGATCCACTATATCGAGATACTCAGTGGATTATAATCTACCCACTCCACTCAGGCAATCAGTGGATTGAGTGGAGTGGCTTTCAACCCTGAGCTGCCGTCAGCAGAACGCACAAACGTGCTCAATGTTCCGTATGAGTCTGGCATCCTCAGCACCAAAGAGCTGAATATCACGGAAACCGACGCAACGGGACTCGTGGAAGCCATGGCCAAGGGCACTTGGACGGCAGAAGAGGTGATCATTGCCTTCCTGAAACGTGCAACTATCGGACATCAGTTGGTAAGGTTCACATTCTTCCCGTTCGACATGGACCATTCTCACAGTATCAGCTTAACTTTGCCACGGAGTTCATGGCCGATGAGGCGCTTGAGCAAGCTCGCGCTCTGGACGCGCACTTCCGTGAGACTGGGTCGATCGTTGGGCCACTACACGGAGTCCCTATCTCGGTGAAAGAAATGGTGTCCATTCAAGGCCGCGTCACCAATACGGGTTACGTCTCGTGGACGTCAAACATTTCCCCTGAAGATGCTTTGATCGTAAAGGTTTTGCGGAATGCAGGGGCAGTGTTTCACGTGCGGACAAACCTCCCTCAAACATGCATGGTAGGCATCACCTCGATTCCCATTGTCAGTCTCAATCTGACGCTTCATGCAGCACCTAGACTGTAACAACAACATCACTGGGCGTACGCACAACCCTCACAACATTCGTCTCTCACCTGGTGGATCATCCGGCGGAGAATCTGCGTCAATCGGCTTCCGCTGCGCGGCCATTGGGATCGGAAGTGATATTGGCGGTTCTATTCGCCTCCCTGCCGCATTTTGTGGCACGTATGGTATTCGACCGACCACTCTCCGAACTCCGTGGACCGGTGTCGGCTTGGCAGGGGAAGGCCAAGAGGCCATACGGTGCACATTGGGGCCACTCACAAATTCGCTGCGTGATCTGGACCTATTCATGAGAGCGGTTACAGATGGAAGACCATGGGAAGAGGAAACGGCCCTAGTCCCGCTGACTTGGAGATTGCTTCCTCCTTCAAGCGACTTCACAGTTGGTGTCCTGTGGGACGACTTGGTGGTTCATCCTCACCCACCCATTCAGCGAGCCTTGAAAGTGGCTGTCGCAAAGATGAAATCGGCAGGCATCAAGGTACAGGACTGGCTTCCGTACAAACACGCTCACGGCATGCGGATCATAAACGACCTTTTTTATCCCGACGGTGCGGCTGCTCAGCTTAGCGCTCTTCAAGCCTCGGGCGAGCCATGGCTCCCACTGACGCAGGAGGCGTTCACTCGAGCGCGCAAGATGACCGTGGCTGAGACATGGACGGTGAATCTAGAGCGGGAGAAATACAGAACGGAGCACAGGCTTCTGATGAAGGAGAGAGGCATCGATTTTATCCTCTGTCCAGCATACGTTGGCGTCGCTGCTGAGCCCAATGAGGCACGGTACTCGAGCTATACCGCCATCTGGAATATCCTGGATATGCCCGGTGTCGTCTTCCCTACGGGTCTGAAGGTCGATGCAACTATGGATAAGATTGAGACAGATTACCAGCCACGCAGTCTTCAGGACGAAGTCGAGTACATGTCATACGCCCCGGAAAAGTTTGCCGATGCTCCCATCGCACTGCAGCTGGTACGTTTTTGGCCTACTGTTCCACGAAGTTCGTCGCTAATATTATTTTCCGGCGAGTAGGTCGGGAACCGCTTTTGCGACGAGGAGACTGTTGCCGCATCCAAGACGCTCGAGAGCATTATTAGGCCCTGAAGTACTTGGTGATAGGAGTCGAGATGGCTTTAAGGTGGTTCAAACGAAGCATTAAGGCCAGTACTATTGTCAAAGTCGTGTTCATCATTGAACTGCATGCATGTTCTCCAAGTGCCAGAAGCTTTGTCACATCAAATTGTCCCGGTCTCCTCTCTTGATCCAGTACGACCAGTCCAGCCTGCGCCACAGCCCTTTTGCCGACCAGCTCTGGACGACGTCCCGGTAAGAAGGCGTCGGCGACTAAGGGACGTAGCATGGAATTAAAAATACGATGTAGTTCAATAATACTGTACGACAAAACATTTACGGCATGTTTACAATCCAGCACCAATTGGCTGTGGGCAGATCTGGCTTACTGTTGGACTCTGCACCCCAGTCCCTGATACCGGCTGAAGTAGGTACAGACTACGGACATGTCCTCTTAACCGCCCGCCGGCGCGCGGCCGGCGGCGCGAGGGGTCGATTACAGCGCTAACACGGGAGTGATAGCCATGAAGCAGGTAGGCGCGATAACGATAAAGATTCTTAGACCCAACGTCAGCAACATGAACCGGCATTTCTGGAGGGAGAAATAATACCTCACGTGGTCTGCGATGCGTTACAAAATGGGGCCATGACGAAACAGTTGCCGAAAGGCCAGATTGGTAAACCGCAGAGCGCTTCAATGATGAAAACAATCAGATAACGTCGTACTGTCCCCTCGTTTAGGCACATGTGCGTGCATGTCCGAAGCAGCACGATATCGGAGCATTCGGCGCACATTCGGCGTTCTCCTTGGTCTGTCTGGCCTCCGGTGGCCTGGTTCTATTCATGCGGTGTTCAACACTGGCATCAAGCAAAAAGAAAAAGAACAAAAAAACATACAACAGCCGGTGTTCGCTGGTCGTCACCGACCCAACTACTAATCTGCCGGTTAGTGGCTTGTTTACCGGAGAGCGGACGGGATCCGAAATTCTCCACTACCTATGGTCGTATGTACTAGGAGTTGATGATATTTGACTTATAACCCTGACCGTTCCCGCGGCAGGACACTTTGCCCGCCCGCTCCCAGATGCGAGAACGCGAAACAAGAGAAAGGCAGTGTCGCTGGCATCAGTCCAGAGTTGCACCGGCGGGCTCTCACATTGACGTTTCTTTACATGTACGATCCATCGGTCTACGTCTTCGTCGGTGCACCATTCATGATGCACGGTTGACCTCCAGCTCTCCGCCAGATGAACCAGATTCACTTCGTACATCCGTCAACCCCGCGTGTACAGGAGACGCCCACAAGCGCCGAACGCGCCCGATACGCCCGGTTTGCCCCAGCCTTTCCCCGCGCATCAAGGTGGATTCATGGCCTGCTCCCCACCCGTCAGACCGTCGCTAGTGCGGAGGCCGGGCAGCAGGTGAGACCACCGGCCAATTTGCCCCCAACGCCATGGCCCATGGGATGATGGACCCTGGCAGGGCTCAGGCGACTTCTGATTCGAAATGTTCGTGCACGTGCGGTCCACCCAGTCGGCAAACGATGAAAGGGTCGGCAAGAACGAGACCGAATTCTTGGCCCGATCGCGGAGGGCGCTGGCGGTGTCGGTCGAACGGAGCAGGCTGTGGCAGCTAGCGCAGTTCACGCGGTGTCGCTTCTTCATGACAGTCCCTCTTTGTTGCAGAGCCGCCTGGCCTCCAAAGTGCCAAGGCTCAAATTACTACAGGAAGTACTCCGTACCCATCGCTCTGTTGGCTGCTCCCGCCCAGAATGGACCCGTATACGCCAATTACGCCGCCGACGACTCCGTAGCACAGAGTCGGCATTGTTTGTACGACCTAGTCGTGTAAAGTGGCTCAATTGCTGTGCCCCGGACACAGCGAACACGGTCCCGTCGCCAATGCTGAAGGAGGCGACAAAGCACAGCCTGGTTCGCTCTGCCAGTGGTCCAGGGACTTGGCCGAGAAGACGAATCAGTCCCAGATTTATTCTCCGCGCGGTCTGTCTATTACTGGGTCCTGCGACAGAATGTGTGCCATGTTAGTCAAATAGACCTTGTATAAGACCTGGGCGGGTGTGTAACGCCATTGTATCCATGACCGAAGCGAATAACTGCACGCGTGCTCTCCTCGTGTGTGTGCTGTTTGCTACATTGACTCGTCCAACACTTCTTCTCTTTCACTCGTCAATCGAGAACCCACGGCACTTGTCAAGCACCATGCGTGCCCTCATCCATCGAGGCCAGGGCGCAATTGCCAGAACTGCACCCGCAGTCATTGCCTCCCGTTCCTCTGCACCGGTTGCCTGGAGAGCACTCATTGCCGACTTTCCGGGAACGCGACACCACATTCATACCTCTCGCCGTTGCTTGCGATCCACCGTTTCCCTCTCATCGTCAACAACAAACTACCCGACGACCCATGACAAAGTCAAGGTTATTGACACTCCTTACTTCATGAACAACAAGTTCTACAACTCAGCCACGGATAAATACATCGACCTTCACGACCCTGCAACAAATAATCTCGTTACGAGAGTGCCTGAAATGACGGATAGCGAGATGAAGGCTGCGGTGGCTAGCGCTGCAAAGGCGTTTGAGTCCTGGAGCAAGACAACTGTGCTTACGCGGCAGCAAATCATGTTTCGCTTCGTTCAACTTATTCGCGAGAATTTTGATCGACTCGCGGCTAGTTGCACTATTGAACAAGGGAAGACTCTGGCGGACGCCCATGGTGATGTCCTTCGTGGAGTTCAAGTCGCCGAGGCAGCCATCGCTGCGCCAGAATTCCTCAAGGGTGAGCTACTTGAGGTCTCGAAGGACATGGAGACACGCACATATCGCGAGCCTTTGGGGGTCGTTGCTGCTATATGCCCTTTCAGTGAGTATTTCCTACGTGAAGAATTACGTACGGAGTCCATTCTTACACCTCCTAGATTTTCCCGCAATGGTGCCTCTATGGTGTCTCCCGATCGCGACGATCACAGGCAACACGATGATCCTCAAGCCTTCCGAGCGCGATCCAGGTGCTGCAATGATACTAGCAGAGTTGGTTCAAAAGGCTGGCTTTCCCGATGGCGTCGTCAATGTCATCCATGGCGCGCGTCGTGCAGTCGATTACATTATTGACGAGCCGGCAATCAAAGCTATCAGCTTCGTCGGAGGCAACAAGGCTGGCGAGTACATTTATACTCGCGGATCGGCCAACGGCAAACGGGTGCAAGCAAATCTCGGCGCAAAGAACCACGCGGTTGTGGTCTCCGATGCCAACAAAACCCATTTCGTTAACAGCGTCGTGGGTGGTTCCTTTGGTGCGGCGGGTCAACGGTGCATGGCTCTGACAACTCTCGTTACGGTTGGTGAGACAAAAGATTGGCTACCGGAAATCGTCGAGCAGGCTCGGAAACTCAAAGTTGACGCTGGGTTCGAGAAGGGCTCTGAAGTCGGCCCTGTCATTAGCCCACAGAGCAAGGAGCGGATCGAGAAACTCATCGAGAGTGCGGAGAAGGAAGGTGCTACGATACTCTTGGATGGTCGCAACAAGGGGCCGCTCGACAAATACCCGAATGGCAACTGGGTCAGTCCGACGGTTATTGCCGATGTGACAACTGACATGACCTGCTACAAGGAGGAGATCTTCGGTCCCGTCCTTGTCTGCCTCCATGTCGATACAATTGACGAAGCGATTGAGCTAATCAACAAGAACGAATACGGCAATGGAACCGCCATATTCACCCGATCGGGCGCTACAGCAGAGATGTTCCGCAAGAAGGTTGAAGCTGGTCAGATTGGAATCAATGTTCCTATTCCAGTCCCACTGCCCATGTTCTCTTTCACCGGAAACAAGAGGAGCATTGCTGGTGGTGGCGCCAATACATTCTATGGTAGGCCCGGAGTCAACTTTTACACACAGCAAAAGACTGTGACAGTCTTGTGGTCAGCTAGCGATGCTGTTGGGAATAAGGCCTCTGTTGCAATGCCGACAATGGAGTAGTGGCAGAGAAGAGTGGTATTGGCCACGGTGACGCAACGGGTCTTAGATTGAACTAGTTTGACGTCATCCTACGTTGTGCACAAGACCATAATTAGTGAAATAGAAGATCAATTGAAGGAAAACACGGACAGTAACGACATGAACGACGAGATAAGCATTCAAGGTCTCAATGTAGTGGCAAGTCGGGTAAGCGCAGTGATTTACCATGGATTCGCTGGTATAACTCATTGTATCAAGACGGAGGGATATTGAGATGGTCTGACTCCTTTGGGCCAGCATCAAGAAGATCACAGCCCGGTAGCAGCCTGGAGGGTACCTTTTCTGATGCTTGGTACGAGTGGCCATATCATTGTCCTTGGCTTGTGAGATTATAGATGCGGACTATAGTTCCCTAAATACTTGCTCAACTGCCTGCTTTGTCCTCAAAGCTATTTCCTCAATTTCGTCTCTGGTGCTGTTGTATGCAGGTGACAGAAGTACATGATCACCATCCACCCCATTCTGTGTGCCAGTTCCTGGATATAGGCTGATATTCTGCTCGTGAAACGCCTTCTGATGGATGGCATTAGCGATCCCGGCGGATGGTGGAAACGGGTCCTTGGTCGCCTTGTCGGCGACGAACTCGATCTTTTCACATGTCAGCCATGTTCATGTTCCAAGCTCGCACTGAAGGCGTGACCTACTCCCCAAAACAAACCCTTGCCTCGAATGTTTCCCACGTGGGGGTGGCCATCGAGGTATCTGTGCAAGAGGTTGCCCAGAGCCTCGCCATGCTCCTGGACTCTCGCAACGAGATTCTCCTCTCGGATGATGCGCTGCACCTCTAAGGCGGCCGCACACCCTACTGGGTGGCCCTGATATGTATGGCCGTGCGCGAATGCCCTGAGTAAACAGTAAGCATTCTCCCCCTGGCTGGCAGGCTCGTAGAGTTATATATGTCAGCTCACCCAGTGCCGTGTTGCAGTGTATCAGCCACACGATGATTGATCAACATTGCAGCTATCGGCGCGTACCCTCCACCTAGACCCTTTGCGAGGGTCTGAATGTCGGGAGTCACGCCCTCTTGCTGCCAAGCGTGCAGTGTCCCTGTTCGACCCATGCCGGACATGACCTCTGAACCAATGTTACCGAGTGGCTTAAACAAGCTCAACCGTGAAAAGAACATACCATCCAAAATGAGAAGGGCACCATGTTTGTCGCAGATCTTTTTCATGGCCTTGAAATATCCCGGGACTGCTGGAACGCAGCCCAGAGTCTGTCAACACGTCGTTAGTGAAGTCACATCATGATGAGACTGTGGTATGAGACGCACTGCGCCCACAACGGGCTCTGCCACAAACGCACAAACAGTCTCGGGGCCAATTTCGTGAAACTTTCGGTCCAACTCGTCTGCTAGCTGCGCAACGTACTGCTCAGTCGTCTGACCTTTAGCCATGCCCCGATATGCATTGCATGCCGATACGCGGTGGATGTTTGGTAGGAGCATGTCATTGAATAGCCTGCGTCGTCCGACATGACCACTCATTGACAAGGAGCCTAGAGTCGTGCCATGGTAGGAGCCTTCGCGAGCAATGAAATTAACTCTGTTGCTTTGTTTCGGGGTCAATTCCATAAAGTACTGGCGTGCCATCTTCATAGCTGACTCCATGGCTTCAGAGCCTAGCAGAAGAGAGAGTCGTCTTAGTGCCAGACAAACACCAAGGACAGATAGGACTTACCGGAGCACATGATGTATGCTCTGGACATAGCTCCCTCCGTCCCGTTAATGAGCTCAGCAGCTAGCTCTTCTCCGATGGGATGTCCGAAGAACATGGAGTTGCAGTATGCAAACTTGTCAATCTGGTCGGTCATGGCCTTCTTTACACGCTTGTTGCTGTACCCGATGCATGCTACCGCAGCGCCACAGGTAGAGTCCAACAGTTTGTGTCCATCAGAAAATGTGAGGTATCTGCCATTTCCAGAAACGACCTGCAATGGGGCTGTTTTGAGCGACCGGTGGAGGACTGCACTCGTGG